TGTAGCTCAACTGGTAGAGCGCTCGCCTTGAGCTGAAGAGCTGAGGGACAGTGCCCAGGCCCAGAGTTCAAGCCCCACGACCGACAAAAAAAAAAAAAAAGCTCAGAGACAGTGCTTAGGCCCTGAGTTCAAGCCCCAAGACCAGCATCCCCTCCTCCCCCCCCAAAAAAAAAGAACAGTTTTTGTTTTATTTTCTCTAAGAAGTACACTTGACATGAAAAAGCCAATACTTAAACTGGCTCCAAATGTTATTTGTTGTATAGCCTCAGATGAAACAACAGAGATCTGGGCTGGGAAGGTGGCTCAGTGGTGGAGCGCTTGCCTTGTATGCATGAGGCCCTGGGTTTAATTCCTCAGCACCACATAAGCAGAAAAAGCCAGAAGTGGCGCTGTGGCTCAAGTGGTAGAGCGCTAGCCTTGAGCTGAAGAGTTGAGGGACGGCGTCCGGGCCCAGAGTTTGAGCCCCACAACCAACAAAAAATTAAAAATAATAATAACAGGGGCTGGGGAAGTGACTCAATGGTAGAGTGCTTGCTTGCATGCATGAGGCCCTGAGTTCAATTCCTCAGCACCACACAAGCAGTAAAACCTGGAAGTGGTGCTATGGCTCAAGTGATAGAGGGCTAGCCTTGATCTGAAGAGCTGAGGGACAGCGCCCAGGTCCAGAGTTCAGGCCCCATGACCGACAAATAAGTAAATAAATAAATATAATAAAACAACAGAGATCCTTCATGATTTTAATTAGTTTTTTTTTCGCTTTGGAACCAGGTTATTCAAAGAATATTCTATACCGTCAACAGATCTTGGAGTGGAAGAATCACTTCAACAGAGCTAAGAAAAAGCAACTTTTTGCAGGTATGCCACTTCCATAAAGATACACTGATCAACGTCAATAAGCTTCATGTAACCCATAGTCAGGGGCTCACTGTGTGCAAAGTACTGTCATTACTTTCAGCAGTGAAACACCAGAATGAAGGCAGGGCCAAGCAAACAGAAGAACAGGATTTCCACCTTGAGGCACGCACTGGGAGCCAAGCACAAGCCTTCAGCCAGCCATACCTTCCTCAGTGAAGCCCACTGACATGCAGGGACAGGCGCAAAGACTCACCCAAGGACTGAGGATCCTGTTCTTGGGGCACACCCGGAATTCAGCCAAGATATAAAACATTAGTAGAAAAGGGATCCCAGACTGCAGCAGCATAGGCAAAAGCCAGGATCCTGGAAGTGTCCTTCTCAGGAGAGCTGCCAGGCAGTGTCAAGAGACGGGGGGCGGGGGCTGGGAAGGTGGCTCAGTGGTAGAGCGCTTGCCTTGCATGCTTGAGGCCCTGGGTTCCACTCCTCAGCACCACATAAGCAAAAAGAAAAAAGCCGGAAGTGATGCTGTGGCTCAAGAGGTAGAGCGCTAGCCTTGAGCTGAAGAGTTGAGGGACAGCGCCCAGGCCCAGAGTTCAAGTCCCCACTGACCAAAAAAAAAAAGAAAAGAAATGGGAGAATAAGGACATTTGTTCTTTCAGCAGTGGCTAACCAGGTGCTCCTGGATAAAGGGAGTAAAAACAAAAAAAAAGAGAGAAAAGAAGGAAGGAGAAAGAAAATGACAAAGGAAAGGAGGGAGGGAGGAAAGAAGTAAGGGATTGGAGGTATGGCTCAGTTGGTAGAGCACTAGCCCATGAGGGAGTGTCAGGTACAGAATTTGAGTCCGGGTCTCAGTCCTAAAAAAAAAAAAAAAAAGGCCAGGCACTGGTGGCTCACACCTGTCATCCTAGCTACGCAGGAGGCTGAGATCTGAGGATCATGGTTCAAAGCCAGCCCGGGCAGGAACATCTGTGAGACTATCTCCAATCAATCACTAGAAAACCAGAAGTGGCACTGTGGCTCAAGTGGTTGAGCACTTGCTAGCCCTGAGCTGAAGAGCTGAGGGACAGCGCCCAGACCCAGAGTTCAAGCCCCACAACTGACAAAAAAAAGGAGGGAGGGAAGAAAGAAGGAAATGTTTTATTCAGTTACGTTATTTATTTTCTCAAATGAGAAAGTATTGACCACTAGTGGGAGCCTTTTATCATAGTAGTCTTGATTCCTGGTTGTTTAAGCTTCTATAAACCTAAACAAAATGCATTTTTTTCACAATTTATTTCAGATGAATCAAACTGAATGAAGCTTAGGCTAGTGATATAACCTTATTACTCTTTATTTTTCCTGTCTTCATCTGAAACAGACAAAGTAATGAAGACTTGGAAAATTTAGTAGTCCATAATGGATATACATCTTATATTGTAAAATGAACAGTCATTGTTGAATTGTGGAACACCAGGTGCCTGCCTGGGTTCCCAGTAGGTTTTGTGGAATAGGTTAAGATGGTCATAATTCCAAAACATCACAAGAATGATTATTACATTTTATAATTCCTCACATTTCTGGAACACAATAATGGTTTTTGAACCATTATTATATTACAACATTTCTGACTGCTAATAAAATTAAGAGACTCAAATATAACTGAATAGCATATAAGAACACTCAGCTAGAAGATGGCTAAATGAAAGCAAAGCTCAAGTGTTCTGGTCCTAGAGCATGATTAATTTCTCCCTCTCCTTATTCATCCTCTTAGTCATCAACAAACACTCGGGAAGCAATAAAACATTCCAGTAATAAGCAGAAGTCACCACTTACCTCTTTACCCTGATGTGTTTCACTCCCTTTTCCAGAGGGACCCATATTATCTGTAGTTTTATCCCCTTATAAGTGTTTGCATGGTGTATATGCTTTTGATTTGTATGACTACTATTTTTGAGAGTTTTCAAAATACAGTGTCGCCGGGTGTCGGTGGCTCATGTCTGTAATCATAGCTACTCAGGAGGCTGAGATCTGAGAATTGTGGTGGCTCAATAAACCACTAGAAAACCGGAAGTGGCGCTGTGGCTCAAGCAGTAGAGTGCTGGCCTTGAGCTGAAGAGCTGAGGGACAGCGCCCAGGCCCAGAGTTCAAGACCCATGACCGACAAAAAAAAAAAACCCAGTGTCCTACTGACTATTGTATTTACTTGTTTCTTTCACTTAATGGTGTCTTAGGGTTTATTTCCATTCATATTTATTTCCTTGTAAATACTGCATGATTGATTGTGTGGGTTGAACTGTAATTAATTACACATGCATCTAGTGATGTTCGGGTCATTGTCATATTTTCTGTTTTACCATGATCCAGTAAACATCCTCTTGTCTGGTAACTTCCTCTCCTGTGGGCATTTGAGTAAGCATTTCTCTAGAATAGAGGGCAAACCCTGGATCTGATGATAATGTCGCAATTTTAATTCAGTAGATCCTGCCAAGTTACCCTTTCAAAAGTCTAATGCATTCACAGTAACAGGAGATCATGCCAAGCCCTGGTGGGGCCTCTTGTAATCTCAGCTACTCAGGAAGCTGAGATCTGAGATTGTGGTGGTTGAAAGCCAGCCCAGGCAGAAAAGTGTGTGAGACTTTTATGTTCATTTAACACCAAAAAAGCCAGAAGTGGAACCGTGGGTTGAGTGGTAGAGCATTAACCTTGAGCAAACAAACAAAACCTCAGGAACAGCCCCTGGGACCTGAATTCAAGCTCCAGGACCAATACACACACACACACAAAAAAATTTTTTTTAGAAGGGAAACTTCAGTTTTCCTTCATTATATTTATTGATACATCTGATCTTATTTCTTCCCTCTTTTTTTTTGGGGGGGGGGTCCGGTCATGGGGCCTGAACTCTGGGCCTGGGCGCTGTCCCTCAGTTCTTCAGCTCAAGGCTAGCACTCTACCACTTGAGCCACAGCCCCACTTCCGGCTTTTTTCTTATGTGGTGCTGAGGAATCAAACCCAGGGCCTTGAGCATGCAAGGCAAGTGCTCTACCACTGAGTCACCTTCCCAGCCCCTCTTCCCTCTCTTTTTTAATTCTACTTCTTAAATTTCCTTAATATTTCTTTGGTCCTTCTCAGCCTTTCACTTCTGAAAAAATGTCATCTGTTTATCCACTTGGATGATAATTTAGATAACTAAGCAACCGTCGACTAAAAAATTCATTGGTTCTGGTATTTCTCTAGGGAAAATGAGTCAGGGGTTCCCAGATTTACATTCTTCCCAGGGCCCTGTCGTAAGACTTCCTTCTACGCCCGGCCACCTTGTAGTACCACACTTGTATAGTCCTTATGGTAAATTTGTTTTCATTATAAAACTTAAGCAGTATCTATGTGGATACCCACTTTTTTTTTTTTTTTTT